TCATTTGCTCGCTTCCAGCTCAGGACTCTGAGGTTCTCCAGGACCACCCCCAAGCCAGCCTTGTTTGCAGGCTCATCTGGTACTCCCAGCTTCTCCTTGCAGTACTGACGCAATGGCCTCACTGAGACGCTGTCCTGGCTGGGAAGCTGGACTCCACTTGACTTAGGATGGGTATCAAGAACCATTCACCAGAAAGGGCCAGGAATGTTCTCTCAACCTCCAATGCAAACAAATCTCCTTACCACTCAGTTCATGGTTTTTGGTTTAGAAGCCCCAACCAGATGGTAACCAGAGAGGCCTGGGTAAGTGACCCAGTGACTAAGATTTTATTGCCAGCATTTCTTTCCCTTGACTTTGTTACAGTTAATAAACATGACAGCCCAGGCCACCCTGCCCTACCCCATGTGCTAAGGTTTGTATGGGGGTGAGTGCATGTTCATCCCATCTTTATTCCCTCCTTCTTTCTCCAGCCTCTCTCTCTCTCTGTCTCTCTCTCTCTGATTTAAATCCCAAATGGGTCAAAAATGTACATGTAAAAGATAAAATTACAAGAGTACTTGGAATTCCTTTATGATCTCAGAATGAAGGTTTTTTTTTTTAATTGATTCAAAATCTAAGAGCCCTAAAATAAAGTATTTAGCAATTCAAATATACTTTATAATTTTCATGGGAAAATATCATAAGCAAAGTTGAAATACAAACAACAAACTGGGTTTTAAAAAAGAACTTCACAACTCATCAAAAACAGCTCATCTTCCATGTATTTAAAGAGCTCCTAGATGTAAAAAAACAAAATAGAAACAACTAATGCTAAAAAAAATGGACAAAGTTGATGAAATGACAATTCACAGAAAAGAAAACACAATGGCTCTTAAACATACCACAAAATGTTCAACTTCACTCAAAATAAGAGAAAGAATAATTAAAAGGTTCTGAGGTAATTCATTAGGGAAAAGATATCTTCTCAACAAAAAAAGTGCTGGAATAACTGGATAACTATGTGGGGGGAAAAAAGAACCTCAATCTTTTATCTCACACCATACACGAAAAGTAACTCAAAATGGACCTAATAGCCGAATCTATAAACTTTTAGAAGAACATCTTCAAGACCTTGGAATGAGCAAAGACTTCCAAGACAAGACACAAAACTTTCAACCATTAAAATACTATAGACTGAACTTCATCAAAATAAAAAACTGCTGCTTGTCAAGTTAAAGCATCAAGTTAGAAAGGGAAGCTGGGAGAAAATATTCCAAATACACATGTCTGCTAAAAGACTTGCAGCCAGAGTATATTGAGAACTCTTAAAGCTAGTACAAATACTATACCAATAAAATAATCTAATTTTTAAATGGGAAAAATATTTGGACACTTCATAAGACATATGCCCAATAAGCACATAGAAAGAGGCTCAAGTGTTGGCACCACCTCTGTGGAACTGTTTGCCACTTTCTTGACCCAGAAATCCTCCTCCTAAGCCTAAGTATTTACCCAAATGAAACCATATGTCCACCAAATAACACACCGTGTTGGCATGGCTGGGGAAAAACACACTCTCATTCACTGATGATAGGAGTATAAATTGGAATGACTTCCAAGGAGGGAATTCGGGCAACACTTACTAAATTACAAATGCTTTGACCTAGAAATTTCCTTTCTAGGATTTCATCCTACTGATAAACTCAACTGTAGTTTAAATGGCATATTTAAAGGTTATCACTGCAGCCCTGGTGGATGTGGCTCAGTGGTTGAGCATAGTCCTGTGCACCGACAGGTTGCCAGTTCAGTTCCAGTCAGAGCACATGTCCAGTTGGGGGTGGATCCCTGGTAAGGGGTGTGCAGGAGCCGATCAATGTTTCTGTCTCACATCGATGTTTCTCTAAAAAGCAATAAAAAAAAATCTTAAAAAATTAAAAATAAAGATTACTGCAACATTGTTTGAAATAACTCAAAACATAATCAAAATGCAAAAGCCAGGTTAAATAAATTGTGATACATCCATACAATGGAATCATATATAACTACAAAATCAAATGGGGAAGGTCTGTGTGGTAATATGGAAAAAACCTCAAGGTTTAATGTAAACAAAGCAACATGTATTTATTATGTTGCAACTTGTGTAAAAAAAAAAACAAAAAAAAAAAACCAGAGGATATATATTTGGATTTTCTTGTATATACATTAAAAAACAATAAACTTCTAGAAGAATAACCAAGAAACTAATACTACAGAGGAGAGGAGCTGGGGGGAGGGATGAGATAAACCAATGAACTTATATGCATGTATGTGTAACCAATGGACAGACAACAATGCTGGGGGGTGGATAGGGAAGAAGGTGTCTGGGGGGGGGGGGGAGAAACATCTGTAACAAAAATAAATTAATAAACTCAAAAAATAAAAATAAACTAATACTAGGAGATACCTGTTTGGAGGAAGATGTGGGAAATGTAGATGGAGTCCGCAGTATGAAAGACAATATTCATAGTATGCTTTTTAAATATTTAAAATGTTGTTGAACCATGTGACTGTAGTATTCAAAATTTAAATATTTAAAAAGTAACCTTGCCCTGGCCAGTTTGGCTCAGCGGTTAGAGCGTCGGCCTGCGGTCTGGAGAGACCTGGGTTCGGTTCCCGCTAAGGGCGCGTGCTTCGGTTGCAGTTTGTCCCCGGCCCTGGTTGGTCGTGCGGGTGGCAGCCACTCGATGTGTCCCTTCACGTCGATGTTTCTCTCTCTCTCTCCCTTCCTCTCTCTCCCTCCCACTTTATCTGTACAAAAAATGGAAAAATATCCTCGGGTGAGGATAAAAATAAATAAATAAATAAATAAATAAATAAAAAGTAACCGCAACATAATACATTATATATTACTATATAAACACAGCATAACTATTAAAATATACAGGCAGTGTCTAGTCCATCACGGGGACATTCCTGGCACCCAATAAGTTACTATTTTTATCCCCATTCCTATTTCAGGTTCTAGTCCCACAAATCAGAGGTGCCCAGCTGCTTCTTCCACCCATGTCCTCACAGGGGCTTCCCTTCCTGCCCAAAGTTTGCCCCCCATTTCTTCTCTCCTCACCCACATAGCTGCAAGTCTCAGGCCTCACCTCCTCGGGAACCCTTCTCTGATTGTCATCTCCCTCCCTCTCCAAACCCTGACCCTGTCAGGGGCCCCTCATCCTCCTGTGGAGACTGCGAGGTCTGCTCAGTGCTCTGGAGGCCAGGGCCCTTGAACCTGTGGGCTCCCGATCCTGGGGTGCTGGCCTCGCCGGAGTGGCCAATGGTTCCAAGATGACTTACTGGCTTGCAGAGACCTTGCTGTCCACCACACAGACATCCACAACTTTGTTTTCCCTAATGTGTTGATCCTCCCATGCCCAGACACTCTCTGAGGAATTTTGGTTTTCTTTAAGCTTTCGCAGGGAAGTGCACAGGCTGCCCCATTTAACACTTGGTGAGCCATGTGCTGTAGCTATGGAGGGAACAGAGGCGAATCATTCACACATGAAGCTCATGGTTCCACTAGGACAGGTACTGTGCAAGGACCAGTGACACAAACCATGGGGAATGGGCATAATCACTGTCCCAAAGTGAAGGAGGAGCCCAGGCAAGAGCAAGGACAGTGCTCCACTAGGCCTCGGAGTGGCGGGAGCCTGGCAGGTTGGGACAGGTGGGAAGGCTTTGGGGTAGACAGCCTGGCCTGGTGGCCTCCAGGTGAGTGCAGAGGAGCAGAGCAGGGGCAGTAGGCTGAGCCCTGGCTCTCTGGGAAGGGGCCTGGAGCTGCAACCTGAACCCAGTGGATGGGCAGTCTGGGCTGGGGGGACACACAAGAGGAGGGTCAAGGCCTGAGGCCAAGGAAGCTGGAGAGGATCCTAAGAGAGGCCTGGTGCCAGAGGCTGTTTCTCAAAGGGCGGGCTCAACAAAAAAAAGTGCTGGGTTTCTGTGGGGATTTCTGTGGGGTTTTTCCAAAAGACTCTTCAGTAGGTGAGATTCATTTCTTCTCTGTGATTCATTTCTGAGAAATGGAGAAGACAAAGGCCCCTCCTCTGGGATCCACTGAAACAGAAAGCCAGGCCAGGCTGACACATGCACGCCCGTTTCCTGGCAAACCTCCTCTCTGACTCTCAAAAGGAACAGAGTGCCCACTCCTGCCCCAGCAGAAAGGGGATCTGTGGGTGATTCAGGAGCATCATGAGGGCTTGTGTCAGCCTTCAGGGCCCTGGTCCTGGGCCGCTGACACTAGGGACATAGCCTGCAACCATCCACCCCACACCCCACTGCGCTCCAGTACATTGTAAACATTTATTTGTGTTTCTGAACCTCTGGTAAGAAGCACAAAAAGTGCAGGTCTCCCATTCATACTGCCCTAGGCCCCAACCTGGCCTGTCTGGTGTGCAAGACAGAGCTGTTGGACAAGTCAAGAGGTCTTCTCAGCCAGGGAGGAGCAGGCTCTACTTTTTCCCGTCCCCGTCCTCACTGGCCTGAGTCTGAACTGCAATCTGGAAGGTGGGCCCTGCCTGACCCCCAGATCCCTCCAGCTGTGACCTTTCCTTGGTGGCCACCTCCCTCTCCCCACCCCCAAACACACAAACACTCTGGAGCTGGGAGCCTGAGCCATGTGCTGTGCTCCCGCACACTGGGACCAAAGCAGCTGCTGTCAGGCTGTTTCTGTGGGTCCTGCCTCTCCAGTCGGCCACCAGCTCCGCAGAGCAGGCCTGGCCGTCCTGTCACGGTGCTATGCACCCAGCTTAGGATTGGTTACTCAGCAGGGGTTTAGGATGGGCAAAGCTTGTCCAGAGAACCACTGTGGGTCAAAAGGGAGGGCAGCCCGACTTAGCCTCTCCCAGCCTCCAGTGTCTCCCAGTCTCTGTTCATTGACTACTGGGCCTGAACCTCCTCAGGGCTTCTAATCTGAGGTGTAGTACCAATGCCTCTTCCTCCAAAATGCCCCCCTGGTGCCAGGTTTGGGCTGGGCTGTGGATGGTCAGCCAAGGCTGCTACTTCAGGGCCCTGAGGACAGCCTCCAACTTCATGGCCACTTCTAGGTCACCTTTCACCTTCAGCTGCCCGCTCACATAGGCCTCCAGGGACCATAGCTCCTTGCACAACAGGGCCCATAGGTCAGCCTCAGCCATCTCTACCACCATGTCAGTGATGCCATCAGGTACCCCACATCCCACCCTCCCTTGCCCTGTGGGGAGAAAGAAAATCAAGCATGAATAGGGGGATAGCTATGTGGTGGGGAAAAGGAAATTAGCATGTCCCACTAGGAGGAGCAGAGAGTAGTGGTTAAGCATTCAGGTTGTAATACCCTAGGTTCAAGTCCTATTGGCTATGTAACTGCTCAGAGCCTCAGTTTCCAAACTGGGGAAATGGGGATGATACTCCCTAAATCCTAGGCTCATGGTGAGTAGTAAGATAATGCATGAAAGTGTTCAGCACAGAGCCTGGCACATAATAGGCCTGCAGCACGTGCAGGGCTATTGATATAGGAAGCTTGGCTATCTGAGTTGTCCTGCTGACCAGGACAGGGTAGGGAGACAAAGGCCTGGATAATCATTGTCTGCAAATGGTGTCTGAGACCCTGACTGCTATGGGTTCTCTCTAAACTGTTGGCAGGAGCAGGAACAGTCTAAGGAAGGACCTGCGGCGGGGGCTCCAAGCAACCTTGGTGGAAGGAGAGGACAGGGAGGGCAGTTGCACCTGTAGTGAGGTCCAGGAAGTAAGTGCTCTGGGTACCACTAGGCAGGATGACAATGACTGGTAGCAGGCCCCAGGTTGGTGGACCAGGGCCTCAGACAGGTAGGGCTGCAGAACAGTCAGCAGCCCCTCTGCCATAGGCTGCTTCAAGCTGGGCCTAGCACCAAGATGAGGGGCAGGCAGCTCAACTTCGCTCCCAACCTCCAAGGTATCTGAGGGAGGTAGGTGAGAGCAGCCCACAGGATTGGGGAAGGAGGCAGAGAGGGGAGGTCAATTTTCTGCCAAGGTCAGGATCACTGTGGCCTCCACACCTATGCAGCAGTTCCCTCTTATATCTCCTTCAGGTCTGTGTTCAACCTCCTACTCTGCTAAGAAACCACTCTTGAGTTTTCAGCCTTAACTCCCAAACCCCATTTCTAAGCTACTCCAGCCCTGAATGTAAATCTCTTTTCTGGATGCTGTTGCTTCCTACCATGGAGGTTCCCAAAGGCCTCCACAGACACCTCGACTCTTCCCACTGCCTTAGTTCTAGTCAGCTCCAGAATTGGAGTGGCCTGAAAAGACAGGCAGGGTATGGACTGCACAAAGGTACTTGGTTAAGGGAGCAAGTAGCAAAGCTCAGCCTGTGCTGGGCACCAAGTTGAGTGCCCTCCTGAGCCCCCACCCTTTTCTGGAGGCTCCTCACCTGGCCCTGGAGGCAGGGCACCTCCTGCCATTGCAGGCATGCCCTTCCTCAGGAAGTGGAGAGCCAGCTGCTGGAGGGGACTGTGCAGGCCGGGCCCAGCCAGGCTGTCCTGAGGTGGCTGCAGCACAGACCCCACTGCCAGCTCCACATGGCCCACCTGGAGTCCCAGGCCCTGGTCACATCGTTGATCTCCAGCTGGAGCACAGTGTGGGGAGAAATGGAACTCATTCAGCATACCTTCCTAGAGCACCCTCTTTGGGCAGGCTGGTATAGCTACACATGGACAATGGTGGCACATGAGGCACCACACCGACCCTTGACAAGTTTCCACCTAGAAACACGGGCACGGGACAATTACAATGCAGCTGGGATGCTAGCAGTAAGCAACCAGGAGAGGACCAGGGAGGACATGGGGCAGTGAATTATCCAGGTGAAGGGGCATCAGGGAAAGGAGGACCCTTCCAGGCAGTGGGAACAGCATGTGCATGAGCCCAAACAGGAGAACCTGGAACATTCTGGAACTGTGAGTAGCTACAGTTCCTTTTAGTTAGACACTCAAGTGTGGGCTGGGAGACTGGAGACAGCTGAGGGGGCCTCCTATTCACCTAGATTTATTCTGAGGCCCAAGGAGCCCCAGAGAGGAGTTTAGCAGGGATTTGACAGAGCAGACTTGCTTGTTGGGAAGATTTTCGTGGCTACCATGTGGACACTGGGATAGAGGGGCTGAGAGTGGAGGCACAAAGACCAAGCAGGAAGTTGTTTCAGATTACTGGCAGAAATGGCATGGGTCTGGTATCAGGCAGACAGGCAACTGTAGAGCCAAGATATACTACGGGTGAACGCAATTCTGTTAACTATCTGAAACTACAGCAGGACAGTAGAGAAGGAGAACCACAGATGAGTGATGACAGAGAGGCAGTGAAGAGGAGTTGGAGAAGTCAGGTTTCTGGTGTGAATCATGAGTGTAGGTGTTCACCCAGAAGGGCACACAGCAGGTAATGCAGAATTGGGAGTGGGTAAGGGAGAGATGATAATTTTTTTAATACACTAAGTTCGAGGTGTGTATGGCACAGTCAACTGTCTAATAGGCAGTTGGATAAAGGGGTCCAGAGTGCAGGAGAGAGTGGGGCTGGAGCAGACTGGTGTAAATAATTAGTGTCCAGAGGTAGCAAAAGCCCCAAGTAAATGAGCTCCACCCAGAAGGTCAGAGATGAAAAGGGGCCATTGACAGAAACCTGGAAAATGAAGGGCGGTACAACAAGGGGTAACAAAGGTGACCAGGAAGGAAGGCGGAAAGCTGAGGTGTAGAGTATGGAAAGCTCAGGGAAGCAGATGATCACTCTAGATTAGGCAAAGGATGAGTGCGCAGAGTCAAAGGTTGCCACCAGGTGAAGTAGGAGGATTGAAAGTGTCCACTGTGTTAGCAAGAGGGAGTTCATGGGCATGTCTGCCATAGGAGCCTGTGGGAAGCCAAGACTAAGGACAAGAGGAAAGGAAGGAAAGGGGAGAGAGGCAGAAAGGCAAGAAGAAGAGCAGATGAGTGAATAAAGGGAGCTGGGTCCTGGGCACAGAACACTGTTGGTGCAAGGATGAGCCTCAGACAGAGAAAGTGGGTGCTTCCAAAAAGGCAGGAAAAATAGCATAGCCCTGGCCAGTGTGGCTCAGATGGTTGTAGCATTGTCCCATACACCAAAAGGTTCTATTCCCAGCCAGGGAATATACCCAGGTTGCAGGTCTGATCCCCCATTGGGATGTGCACAGGAAGTAACTGATTGATGTTTTAATGTTTCTCTCTCTCTCCCATCCTTCCTCTCTCTCTAAAAATCAATAGAAACATATCCTTGAGTAAGGATTTTTTGAAAAAAGGTACAGACATCAATGAGTTTGAAGGTGTTATGCTGGAGGAAGCTAAAAGAGTTCTTATCCCAGAGTTTTCTCTCCTGAGGCTTAGGAGGCCAGGCCTGCTGCAGAGCGTGATGGGTGAGGGTGGGAGGCTGGACCAAGGCAGTGAGAGGTAAAGTAGCTGGCCGTGAGCAGCTAAGGAAAGTCTGGCGAGTAAGAGGTAGGGAGTGTTCAATCCCTTCAAATAAAATATAGGCAAAAAGGAGAGTGAGAATAAAAATTATATGCCTGAACCAGGGCTTAGGGAAGTGTGCGGGCTTTCCTGAGATTCCATTTTAACCAGAGGCACTGACCCCACATTACCAGTGGCCAATTCAGTCTGGGCAATGGGCCTTAAATGACTTTAACATCATGGTGTGAGACTGACTCCCCTCAAACTGCCTCTCTCAGTTTTGTGCACCAAGGCCAAGTGCAACAGGTTGAGATCAATTTTCTCTTACTAAACATAACTTTATTATTATTATTTTTTAATCCTCACCTGAGGATATATATATATATTTTTTTACATTTATCTTCAGAGCCCTGGCCGGTTTGGCTCAGTGGTTAGAGCATCCGCCTGCGGTCCGGAGAGACCCGGGTTCGGTTCCCGCTAAGGGCATGTACCTCGGTTGCAGTTTGTCCCCGGCCCTGGTTGGTGGTGCGGGTGGCAGCCACTCGATGTGTCCCTTTCACATCGATGTTTCCCTCTCTCTCTCTCTCTCTCCCTCCCACTCTATCTGTGCAAAAAATGGAAAAATGTCCTCGGGTGAGGATAAAAAACAAAAACAAACAAACATTTATCTTCAGATAGAGTAGGAGGAAGAGAGAGAGAAAAACATTAATGTGAGAGAGATACATTGATTGGTTGCCACCCACATGACCCCAACCAGGGCAGGTGACGAATTGCAATTGAGGTATGTGCCCTTGGCCGGAATCCAACCCAGGACTCTTTGGTCCATGGGCCGACGCTCTTACCGCTGAGCCAAACCAGCCAGGGCCTAAACATAAATTTAAATGGAATATGATTCCATGAATAAAAATTGTTATCAAATTGTTACTTAAGCAGTATAAGACTAAGCACTGGAAATGAACTTAGGGAAAGAATAGAGAAACTCAATGAGAACTTCCACAAAGAGATAGAAACCATAAAAAAGAACCAGTCAGAAATGAAAACATTAGATGAAATCAACAGCAGATTAGATAAAGTAGAGAATGGAATCAATGATTTGGAAGACAAGGTAGTGGAAAACACCCAATTAAACAGCAAGAAGAAAAAATAATTTTAAGAAATGGGTATAGTTTAAGGAAACTCTGGGACAACATCATGCATAAAAACATTTGTATCATAGGGGTACCATAAGGAATAGAAAAAGAGCAAAAAATTTAAAACCTATTTGGAGAAATAATGATTGAAAAGTTTCCGCCCCGGCCGCTTTGGCTCAGTGGTTAGAGTCTCAACCTGTGGTCCAGAAAGACCCTGGTTCAGTTCCCTCTAAGGGCACGTATCTCGGTTGCAATTTGTCCCCAGCCCTGGTTGGGTTGTGCGGGTGGTGAGCACTCAATGTGTCCCTTTCACGTTGATGTTCCTCTCTCTCTCTCTCTCTCTCTCTCTCTCTCTCTCCCTTCCTCCCTCCCTCCCACTTTATCTGAACAAAAAAAACTGAAAAAAAGTGTCCTCAGGTGATGATAAAAAGAAAGGAAGGAAGGAAGGAAGGAAGGAAGGAAGGAAGGAAGGAAGGAAGGAAGGAAGGAAAGTTTCCTAACCTAGCAAAGGAAATAGACACACAAATTCAGGAAGTGCAGGGAGTCCCAAACAAGATGAACCCAAAGAGGCCTATACCAAGACACATCTAATTAAACTGCCAACAGGAGAAGACAAAGAGAGAATCTTAAAAGCAGCAAGAGAAAAGCTCCTACAAGGGAGCCCCCATAAGACTGTCAGCTGATTCCTTAACAGAAACTTTGCAGGCCAGAAGGTATTGGCACAAAATATTCAAAGTGGTTAAAAGCAAGTACCTACAACCAAGATTATTCTACCCAGCAAAACTATCATTTAGAATCAAAGGAGAGAGAAAGAGCTTCCAAGACAAAACTAAAGGAGTTCATTACCATCAAACCAGAAGTTATTTAAGAAGAAAAAAGAGACAAAAAATATGAAAAATAAAATGGCAATAACTATATACCTATCAGTAATTACTTTAAATGTAAAATGATTAAATGATCAAATCAAAAGACATGAGACTTCAGATCAAGATGGCGGCGTAGGTAAACGTGGTATCACGTCCTCCCACAACCACATCAAAGTTACAACGAAACTAGGGAACAACCATCATTTAAAACCGCCTGAAATCATCCTGAATGGAAGTCCTACAACTACAGAATTAAAGCAGCAGCCACATGCAGACTAATAGGAGGGGTGAGGGGCGGAGGTGCGAGGGGCGGAGGTGCGAGGGCCAGTGGCGAGACGAGTTGGCCCCACACCCACGTGTGGCAGATAAAAATCAGGAGGACACCTGGCTGGGAAGGTCCTTCCTGAGGACTGAGGGGTCCCTGTCCCACACCAGGTGCCCCGCTCAGGGTCCAAGTGCCGGGAAGAGAAGTCCCCATAACTTCTGGCTGGAAAAGCCAGCATGAACTGAGGCTCAGGGAAGCTGAAGTGGCTGGAGCCCCAGGCAGCTCCTTAAAGGGCCCGCGCACAAACTTATCGAACTCTCTCCCTCTAAGCTTGGAGGGGAGGCAGCTCGAGGGGCACCAGAGACATACAGGGAAGAACTGAGCTGTTTGGCACTGGAGCGAGGGCTGGAGAGGGGGGCTTTCTCTAGCACAAACATGCTATCAGAGGCCGTTGTTCCTTTGGTGAGCCCGTCCCTGGGGGGGCACACAGCCGCCATATCTGGGACTCCAGCAACCTGGCTCACACTGGAAACCCCGCCCTGGTGACTCCCTGAGGCCCCGCCCCACCCCACCCAACTTTCAAGCCCACCCAAGCTGTTGCCACTTGCTTAACCATAGGATTGGCCAGTCTTGGATCCTGCTTCAGGTTTTTCCTAAATTCTTTCAAACAAGCAGCATCTGGTCTCAGCTAGCCCCATACCTCTCATTAAGTAACACACAGAAACAAACACAGGGAGGCAGCCAAAGTGAGGAGACAAAGAAACAGGTCCCAAATGAAAGGACAGAACAAAACCCCAATAAAAGAACTAAGCGAAAGGGAGATAAGCAACCTAACAGATGCTGAGTTCAAAATACTGCTTATAAGGATGCTCAATGAACTTAGTGAGGGCCTCAAGAGCATAAAAAAGGACCAGTCAGAA